ATAATGCACTGAAAGCTAGATCATGTAAAATGTTTAGCTATCATACACTGGTGCATGAATATGTTAACTTCTACATTTGATTGTTGACTACTACATCACAACTTGAGTTGAGTTTGTGCAGGGCAATATATCATATAAAACTCAAAATATTATTGTATTCTCTTATCAATCAATGCGGATATAATCTTCTTTTTCGCCATTTAGAAGTGGAGCACTCATAAACCAATCATACAAGTTTACTATGAATTCTTCATCCATAGTACTCCATTGTCAATAAAAATTAACATTTAAATCTAATTTGTTATAGTTCGCATTATTTTGTTGTATTCCTTCGTTGAAGCACATCATCTCATGGCATCTCATATGAATTAATGAAGCTCTTCTCAATGATGATTTGTCTCTATAAAATTGTCTTGTAACAACTTCCATCTAGACCATATAAGAAATCTTCCTGTTAGATCACAATGCATTTTGTACTCAATGATGGTTTGTCTCTATAAATTTGTCTTGTAGAAACTTCACATTAGATTGTTATAATGAATGTAGCTAAAAATTTGTATGAATATTTTTCAATTATGAAATTGTTTGTATACAAAATAAGTTACAAATTACCTCAATTTTTCTAGATTTCCTATCATCAAATAATTCGATGGACTATGAAATCCTTCCTTAGATGTAATAAATATATCATATGGAGTGTTATTGGTTGACCATAGCCTTATGAGTCCGACCTTCTAAGAACCCTAATGAGTACCCCTAATAAGTACACACCTAAATAGCCTAATCTTAAAATGAGGGTTAGCCCTAAACCCTTTTACCCTTTAAGATGCTCAATGTTACCCTATCATCTAATGTCACTATAAATAAACTTACAAAAATTAGGGTATGAATTGAACCGTATCATCTTATAGATATATAAACAAAAATTCAACGCTATAAATCATATATTATTACATTTTGACATAAATTATATAAATGCAACTAATTGCTATAGTTTTTCTTTTGGACATTTAGGTCAATTAAGACAAATTCATACACACATCACATACATAAACTACGAATCTAAAACGACTTGGTTGGAAGCTAAAATTCATAACCAATAGATTAAGATGAGCTATGTACTAACATAGTTTGAAATATCATAAATTAAAAACAAATTAATTTCAAACTTGATACCGTCACGTCATAGTTGACCCAATTTATTTGATTTGACATTGTTTAGATTAAAATAATAAATTTATTAATATAAATTGTATATTTTACATAGGCTAGTACTAAAATGAGTACCAATTAATTTATTTAGTAAAAATATTAAAAATTTATTTTTTATAATTTTAAAATTGAATTAACTTATATCAAATTTGTATTCAACACTAAAATTTTATTTATTTATTTATTTAAGATGAAAAAAAAAATCATTTAGATTTTGACATGCCATATCATTTATTCATGAAGGGCCATAGCAACCTATAAGGAAAGTTTTAGGTCCTTGGAATAGTTCAAATTTATGTCTTTTGCATAGCAACTGAATTTGATTTCTCATCCATCATCTCCATCATCAACAGTGCCACTAATCAATATTTTTTTTATTTGGCAATATAAATAATTCGCAGACAAAGATTTTTGTAATAAATTAAAAGAGCTGATGAAGATGACAAAGGACATTTGGATGATTGATAAGGACCCATCTCGTGATTTGTAATAAACTAAATTTTTCTTAGAAAAATTAAGGGACAGAGCACAGATTTGTAATAAAGTAGAAGGTCCAAAACTTTTCACATCATACATAGATTCTTTGATCAAATTTGTGGTGAGAGCTCGTAAAAGGGGTAAACTAAAACATAGGGGATTGAATAGGGGCACCAATATATAATTTGGTCAAATTGATTTTGATTTGACTCAGAAAATTTAGATTCGTTTGAAAAATGGGTCAGATTCGTATTTAGAATTTTTATAAGTTTAGGATTTAGAGTTAGGTTTGAGTTAACACTCGAATTTGATTTTGGCTTGTTTATCTTTTTTTCTATAACGTATTTTTCTTGTTGACATGCTCTTTTTATTTTTTATCAATTAACTTGAATTTTGTTATTGAAAACCTATAATATTTTTAAATAAAATAATATCATGTTAGATTTGGATCATCTAGGTTGCCAGTGGATTAGGTTTAGGTCCATCTTTTTAACCCGTTTAGTAAATTAGATGAGTTTGGGTCAATTGGATTCAGATCAGATCAAATTTCAGTTGGGTTTGAATATGACTATTAACCCGTTTAGACACCCATAAGAATGAGAAAGAATTCATCGGTCATTCAAATTTTGTTTAAACCAACATAAACTAAAAATTCAAGTTTAAAATTTGAAAAAGAAAAAAGGAACAGCTTCTGGTTTTTTTAAACAAAAGGGAAATAAAAATAAATAGAATATTACAAATTATTTGACATCAATATAAGATTTTTGTAAAAAAAATTAATATAAAGTTTTTTATATAAAAAAACTATATTATCTTATATTTTTTAATAATTTTTTTTTTACTAATTTGCCTTACTCATCTAAATAAAAATAATTGAAATGTTTCTGCTATTTTTTTTCCTAGATGGTTAAAACAAGTGGTTATTAAGTAATCATATTTATTTGAATACTCTTGACTATGATTTCGTTTGGGATAGCTTTCTTATTGTTTATTAAAGCAGTTTTTTAATACGAAAATTTTTTGAACTAAAAATTTTTAGACTAAAATGCTGTTTTAAAAAACAGTAAGAAAGTTATCTCAAACTAAGCCTAAATTAGAATGATGTTCATAAAATTAAAAGGTTTCTTTTGTCAGCAGCATTGATTTGGTATTATATTTTATTTTAATATTTTTAGTGTTTAATATAAGAAAATAAAATAAAATATAAAATTAAAATTCATATTTGATTATTGGTTAAAATTAACCTTCTGATTAGTAAAAAAAAAAAACATAAAATTATATTTAGGTGATTTTAAAATCTTACAATACATCTAATCACGATATAAAACCGTTGTTTCGCTTACTACCATTCATCTTTCAATATATTTGAAATATATTATATATAATAAATATAAAATATATTTGAATTATTTAATATTTAAAATATATATGTATGTTTAAATAAAAAAAAAAACCAATAGTCATTTTATTACAAAATAATAGATATTTTTAAGTACTCAAATCTATTGATTCAAAGGTTAAAAAAAAAAGTTATAATTTTGTAAAATTAGCTTATTGTGATTGGAGGAGGATAAGCATACAATCCCTTGTCATGCATAGAATTCCCCACCACCAATGATTTAATGAAGCTTCCACTGTTGTACTCGTATGAGCAGTGATAGATGTGACCAGAATCTTTGAATCTGGGTGTACTAATTGGAGGACCTAAGGACTAGAAAATAGTCCACTTTTGATCAGCCAATAAATGTTGGGTCCTAATTCTTTTGACTGGGAATAGAATACTCTGAATGCATATAGGAACTTATAGAATCATTTATATATTTACTTTTAAAACTAAATAGATAGTCTCATATCTATATATACATATAAAGTTTTTATTTGCTAAAGGGAAGGGCTTTGACAGGATTGAAATTGTCAATGTCGAAAAATTATTCTGTGCGGATACCGAATTGTATACGGAAACCAACCAGAATGTGCCTTACTGCCTAAGTAATTGTTGAAGAAGAGACAATCAAGAAAATCAAACTTTTAAGTACGTGGTCCCTCAAACCTACTAGAGAAAACAACATAGCTAGTATGATTAAAAGTTCATTATCAAATGATACTGATATCTTTTCCATATTCATGAGGTGATATCATCATGATAGTTTTATTGGATTATCTTGTACAATTGTTTTGACCGTGCGGCTCATTATTATTTGAAGACTTGATGATATACTTCTCCTATGTATTATACCACCATGATAATTGCATCAGAGTAGCCACATATAAAATTTTAATAACACTGCCTCACTATACAAAAACTCAATTGCTTTTAAGAATGTGAAAATCAATGTTGTACGCTTTGCACCGCTCATGCTAACACGAAAGCACTACTCCTTGCGTACTTTGGGATGACACTAAGGATTTGTTTGGGGCGACTTTCTTACTGCTTCTTAAAGTAGCTTTTAAGTTCAATAATTTTCATTTTTGTACTTTAAAGCTATTTTAAGAAATAGTAAGAAAGCCATTCCACACGAAACTTAAGCCTATCATCATACAATTCTAGTTCATTTATAATTGTTTCATTGGAGAATAAATCCTTAGGCCGTTATGATTACCTAATTAGAAAACATCTTATACTAAAACTCATTTAATTTAATTAATCAGATGCAAACTACCTTTTTATTATTTTCTAAAAAATAATTTACCTTTGTAACTAGTAGAGGCCCCATAAAATTGTTTTTTCTCCTATTGTGATTTTCATAAAATTGATCATTTCATTTGCTAGGTGCACACTAAATTACTTAAGCCATGATGAAGAATATAATCAAATTAATTTAATTATCCGTAGAAGTTTTTTACACGCGATCAAAAACCTAAAAAAAAAAAACAAATGATAGGAGGGACAAAGGAGATAATATCAAAGAGAAATTTTTCTCATCCTCGAAGAAGAAAAATGAATATTCATTTTCCTATTTTATTTTTGCCTCGTTCATTTTATATAGTTTTCAAACTCCTAATTACATACAATAGTGATTTTGATATATAACCAAAGATATATATAGATTAATTTTCATAATAATTTAATCATTAGTAAGAGCTCATCGTTAGAAAAACAAATAGCTACTAATAAATTTAACTTAGAGAAAAAAGAGGAATTTTTACAAGTTTCCAACAGATTTGCCACAACTTTCTGATGATCAGGGAAAAAAAAACTACAACACATATGTAGCGGAACTAAACAGACTGAATAACTTAATCAGAGCTAATCAAGCTTTCAATCCGACAAAAAACATAGCTAAACAGACTAATTTACTAATCTAATTAATCTACAATATAATTTCAGTACTAAGAACATTCCAAATTTCTTCAAAAACCTCAACAATCATATCATGATACTCACGTGAATTCAGAGACAAGTAAGAAGCAAGCAAATCCTCTAAATCCTTAGAAGCCAGAAGATTATTCTCCAATATCATGTCCACCATTGACTCTCTGAAATCCTTCTGAGGATCTGAAGAAGATTTCACCACCGCTATGCTCTCCTTCAACCTCTCCTTCCTCTGTTTGCGTTTACTCAAAGCTTGAACTCTCTTCCTTGCAAGCCGTGGTGAGTTCATCAATGGCGACTTTTTGTTGTCTTTCTTGCTTTTGGGCTTTGTGCGTATTGGCTTCAGTGGTAAATGGAAGAGTTTGTCTTCTGCTCGGGATTGGCTTGGGATGTAGTAGGATGGTCTGTTTGTGCGGTAGGATGGCTTTGTTGGTGAAGCTTTTGGAGGAGTTGTTGGAGCTTCATTTTTGTTAATGGAGTTCTGAATGATTGGTCCTTTAGTTTTACTTCTGTTGGCTGTGTTTTTGAGCTTAGAGAGCCAACAGCTTGGCAGCATATTAGCGAGCTTGAACCTGTAGTTTCCCATTCTTGCATAAGAACAAGTACTTATCCTTTTCTACGAAGCAATCTTTTGTAGTAAAAAAGAGCAGATGACGAGGAGATATTCTTCAGAACAGTTTTAAAGGACGAGAAATGATAAGAGAGATTGTTAACCACAACCCTTTTTTTTTTCTTAAGAAATGATGAGTAATAAATCATAAAATATGTGACTTGTGAAGGATCTCTCTCACACACATCTTAGGTTTCATTTGTAATGATTTTTTTATTTCTTCTTAAAGCAGCTCTCTATTATAAATTTTTTAATTATTGTTCTAAAAAATTGCTTTAAAAAATTATTAGAAAGTCGTCCTAAATAAAGTCTTAATCTCAATAAGGCTATAGGGAGGACTAGGTGTTGTGATGTGACTACTTTAAGCTTAATACAGGTCCATTAAAAATAAATGATTGAGAAAGGTTGCTATTAGGAGTTCATTTGAGATAATTTTTTTCACTCTTTTGTTAGGAAGGTTATTATCATTTCATATATATATATATATATATATATATAAAGAAAATTGTCCTCCTTGAGCATAAATCTCATGGTTGGGAATTAACTGGCCAACCACTGAGCCATGACCTCATGCACTATAGCCATAATTTGGTTTGGTTACAACAGTCTTCGAGCTTTTCAATTATTTCTGAAATGATATAAAGGTTTTTATAATCAGATTTGCATGAGTGTAACGATTTTTAGAAAGTTGCTTGATTTTTACAAAAAGAAATATTTAGAATACTCATATTAAGGTTTTATTTCGGACAGCTTTTGAAGCAACCTACAAGTTAAAAATAAACAGAGAAATGAAATAACAAAGAAGGAGAAGGAAGATGGAATCTGTGTTGTGTTCTGTCTTCCATGAGCTGCTACATAATGCAATGGATTTACATATAGGAACTGAGTGGTTAGTTTTTTTTTTTTTTTTTTCTAAAGAAAAGCCAAAGCTTGCATTATATTAAAAACAAGAGGAAAAAGAAGAACAACTACAAAGTGGATTCCTCCTTCAAAATGTTAAAAAATGAAGGAGGAACCTTATTCAAAGAAAACTCTTCTCAACTAAAACTACTAAAAAGAGTATAGTTAGCACACAAATTTGCTAACTTATTGCTTTCCCTACCTATACAATTGAAAATGACAAAATTAAAATCCTTAAGAAAGCCAAGATCCTCTTCTTTGTAGTTCCCTTTCTCCAAATTCTTTGAAGAAAAGAAATGATATTCGAATTTTCACCTTCAATGATGATACCTTTGAACTTGAACATCCAATCCTTGATCACCTCCTTTAAAGAATGAATTGCTACAAGCTCCAATTGTGTTATGTCCCAATGAACACAAGATCTACCAGAAGCAAAGAGGAATCTACCTTTGCAATCCTGGAATACTCCAGTAATACCTGTTGTATAAGAAGAAAATAGAGATGCATCTACATTAACCTTTAGCCATTTAGGTGGAGGAGGATGCCAAGTATTGGACAGTCTGTACGACTGGTTAACATCCCAGTGGCCCAAATTGAAATGGCTAAAGCTATAGGTAACCGATGTGTAACATATAGCATTGGAAGCAATAAAATAGGGCTATCTTCCACTCCTTCATGAATACTTTTATTCTTAGCTTTCCAAGATAAGAAGATTGCATTACAGTACAGATTGACGATCATACCTTTCTTCAAAGCAAGAGATTCCAGTCATCTAAGACACGCTTTAAAGATAACAAATATAAGAATTCCAAATCCCCATTGGTTTAGATAATGAATTACCTCTTTTAACTTCAAGCATTTACACACAATATGCTCTACGTCTTCAATTACATTGTAGCCTCTAGGACATTTGGCATTGTCCAATAATCTTCTATACCATAAAAATTGAAGTGACGGGATTGCATTTCTACTTAAACTCCACCAAAACACTTCCACCCGAGCATTCAGCTTAGCTTTTTTGATCCACTTCCAATGCTGAAACTCATAGCTCTTTTGCACCGAAGCATTGAAAACCAATCCAGTAATAGAAATCTCTGATTTTTGCTGAAGCATCTCCATTCGTTCCCCCTCCCCATGTTGTGTAATCTTCACCTGCAAGATAAGATTAACCAACTCCCTACCAAAAGTTTTCAGCAGCACAGGTTCATTCCAGCATCCATCAAGTATGAATTCTTTGACTAAGAAGCTGTTTGGTTGCCTGAATTAGGAGTGTAAAGTAAAACAAATACACATATTTACTAAATTTAGTTGTTTGGTTAATTTTGAGCGGAACAAAAGGAACCCCTCCGGAGCATTAGGCATGTATTAAGGTGAGTGTTTTCTACGAATTAGAAACCCACGCATATTGAGCGTGTTATAAATTCACTCGACGAAGAATTCCTTCGCATCGTTGTTGTTCGGCTTCATTTCTTCGCAGGAGCTGTAAGATTACACGAGAGACTTCTTCGGCTCCTTCGTTCTCATTTGACTTTGCTCCTTCAACGACGTTCCCTTTACCTATTCGAACGGATGTTGCGACATTTTCATCGAAAATAAGGACGGGAGCTCGCAAGTTCTAAAGGTAACTTTATCCCTTTCGAGCGCTTCTTCGGCCATGGCATTAATCTCCTCCGAATTCCAAAAGATGAAACACACGGAGCCCTCTCCCTCTTCTGATTTCCTTTGATTCGCAAGCATAAGCCCAGTCGGTAGAAGATCTCTTCCCTCCTCCCGTCTCTCTCCTTGTTCGCACGACCCAGAGAGAAGCCGGATCTCTCTATCACGGACCTCCTCCTCTCTCACCGAAGGCATACCAACTTCAAGAGCCCTATAGCAGGCTAAGGTTCAGCCTCCTGTTGACCAACATCTGTCTTCAATGAGGAAGACCCTTCGATCAATCTCCTCTTGCGCATGTATACGTTTTTCCTTCCTTCTCATTTTTCTTTCCCTTTCCTCTTCTTCTTTTTTTTTTTAAAAAAAAAAGACCTGTCAACTTCAAAATGTTACAACTAATTCATTATTGTATTAATTTTTAATCTGTTAATCCTCCTCATTTGAATTTTATGCAATTCAACAGCAATTTGGAGACCTGTTAGTTTGTTGTTTATCTTTGTATCGTCTTATAGAGCATTGTTCCTTCTGTCATATTTTTTCATGAGCTCAGCAGTCTCCACATCTAGAGGAATCCCTGGTTTTAACCATGAACTTCATCTTCACTTAAGATAAACTAAAATTCAGTGAACCAATAAAATTAGGATGATATGTTTAAATGTCTAATATGTAAATGGATGTTTTTAATTGTTTGATTTACTAAAATTATTCATCTTCCTTCTCCATAAGTTATCCTTTTTGTTATTGTATTTCCTTTGCAATAACTTAATCTACATCCTACTATATTTTTATTTTTCATGTCTATGTTGAAATTGGATGATTTAATTATACATTTTTTGCTTAAAGTTAAATTTTGTAGTTACAAATATGGTTGAGCCATTGGAAGATGTTGCTGAACTCCGTGAAATTAAAAAATATAATGATGTGATGAAAGTGATTTATATTGCAATTAGTACAATATGTGTACTATTGCAGAAGATTCGCAAAGAAAAAAAAATATGATCCTCAACGGAATATACAACGTGACACATATCTTTCTAGGTTATATAATGGATGTGATTCTAACTGTGTTGACATGGTACGCATGAGGCGAGCGCCTTTTTTCAAATTATGTGATTTAATGCATACACTAGGATTGTTGTTAAAGACAATAAATGTTCGGATCGAGGAACAAGTTGCAATGCTATTACATACACTCGGGCATAGTGTTCGTAACCGAGTCAAACGATTTAACTTTCATCGCTCTGGTGAAACTGTTAGTAAGTACTTCAAAGCTATATTACATGCTGTAGGGGAGTTACGCAATGAGTTTATCAAACCTCCACCACCTGAAACTCCATATATGATTAAATCAAGTAATAGGTTCATGCCATTTTTCAAGGTATAATCAAATTTTATTCAATGAAAATCTCTCTTTTTATTAAGGAATCCTAAATATACTTTTTGTCAAATTTATGAATGCTCTACTTTAAATTTATTAATCATATTTTTGTGAGAATGAATTAATGACTCATGACAACTATATATATTTTTTGAGAATGAATTCGTCACCACCAATTGTAAAGGTATTAAATACATGCATCATGATTGGCATCAATGAGCAATGTAATAACTGAATGAGCACCTTTTAAGTTTTGGTTTGTAATTCAGCAAAAGACAGTCAAATTATTTAACCTATTTGTATACCTAGAGGTTAAGTACTAACTATTTGGTAGAAAACAAGCATAAATGTTAATTAATTTGGACTATTATTAATGTATTAGTGTGATGAGGGGCTCACATTTTAAAAACATGAAGGTGGGTTGATGGGAGGCTTCCAGTTAAACAGGATTAGCTATAATTGAAATAAGATGGTTGGGGCATTTTGGGGTTAAAACAAACAAGCTCTTAATTTCAATCCCAGGCACTGTACTACTTGGCTGCCTTTCTTCTTCTATTAAGTGTCTTCAATGAATATGTTCTAGATTTTCAGCATGGTTTAATTCTTTTTCACTTTCCCTCAATGATGATTTGCAATATCTTAATTTTGAACTAACTCCTCGACATGTTATCAGTTGAAGGACCTCATACTAATTCTTCCAAAGCATCTCAGATTCTTGTATGCTTAGCAACCTCTTCCAATTTGTGGTATAGGTCATATACAGATCAAAAAATTACATCTTTAAGCCATATATCTTGTTCCTCAATTGTTCAGTAATCTGATTTATTTTGAAATTTTTGTGGAGAACAATTGTCACATTACTTTTTCATCCTCTAAATGCACAATTTAGAAATTGTTAGTAATCTTCAGAAGTGTAGCACTTCAAAACATACCAATTATTCCAATCAAAGAAAGACCAAGTCTTCCATTTACTTTTAGCTTTCATATGATGTCGTTTCCAGCATAATTTAACAAATGTTGTGATTAATAGGTTGAATAGAAGCAACAAACAAATAAAAAAATAGTTATTTACATGGTATATTTTTATACTAGTTGTTGTCCCTTATCTTTTAATATCTGTGCACCCTATTACGTTTAATTATAAGCATTTTTCCCTTCATTTTATGCCCAATTTGTCTATGATTTTTATTAGGCTTCTATCACATTTTAACACTTAAGTCTAGATTTTAGATCTATGACATCTTCCAGCTGCTTCCATCAAAAGATCAAGTTGGTGTTTTCTCAGCCATAATGCCTTCTGAGGCTTTGGAGATTACCCGCAAATTCATGAACAAGCCTGTAAGGATCCTTGTCAAACGAGATGAACTGACCTTGGAAGGAATAAAACAGTTCTATGTGACTGTTGATAAGCAAGATTGGAAGCTTGAAACCCTTTGTGATCTTTATAAAACATTGGCCATTACTCATAGTGTTATTTTTGTGAACACGAGGTGCAAAGTGGATTGGCTCATCGACAAGATGAGGAGCAGTGATCATACAGTATCGGCTACCCACGGCAACATGGATCAAAACACGAGAGATATTATTATGCGGGAGTTTAGATCTGATTCTTCTCATGTTAACATCACCACTGACCTGCTTGCCCGCGATATCGATGTTCAACATGTCTCACTGGTCATCAATTATGACTTGCCAACTCAACCTGAAAACTATCTCCATCGTATCGGTCGTAGCGGATGGTTTGGAAGAAAGTGTGTGGTTATCAACTTCATCACCAATGATGATGAGAGAATGCTGGCTGACATCCAAAGATTCTACAATGTTATCATTGAAGAACTGCCATCCAATGTTGCTGACCTCCTTTGAGGTTTTTACTTTTTGAAACTAGTTAGGCCTTTTCAAAATCTTAATAATCTCTTTAAATTTATGTATTAAACTGTATGGTTTGGGATTTATTTTTGTTGTTCTTGATAACTTAAAGGAGTGTTCATCTTATATGACAAAATTTGTAGGTTATGTATAGATGACCTTACAAGGAGGCATCATGGATGTTCTTTTTCGTTATGTTTGAATGTGATGTATTATGTATTTGATGCTTTACATTTTAAACTAGTTTATCTGCTCTTTTTAATATATATATGATACCGGTGATATAGGGAAAGTATTGATTCTTGCTTCTATATTTTAAGGATTCTGTTGAAGTGGTCTTTTGTTGTTATTCCATATCTTTTGATTTGCAAGTATGCCTTGAAGTTGTTTGCTGCTGAGAGCTGGTAATAATCAAGACTTCAGCTTCGTTTGAGACGGCTTTCTTATTGCTTCTTCAAGTAATTTATTAATAAAAAATTGTAATTTTTAAATTAGAAATCTGCTTTAAGAAGCAATAAAACCTTAAATTTGATAAATTTAAATAATTGAAAAGTAATATTTTTTCTACAAATGATAAGAAAGCATAAAAAAATAATCAAAATAGAAATAAATTTTCTACCCACTTTAATATTTTTGTTAAAATCAAAGATATTAAATACAAAAGTTAAATTGAATAGATTAATAACCAGGATTTTTTTTAACAAAATCAAGATGTTAATTTTTGTGAATCTAAATGATAAAATAAAATTCAGTTAAAATTTATGACCGTAGAACCGGTCCATAAATTCGTCATCCCCACTCATTAATTAGTCACAAAATTTGCATGTTAAAAATCGTAATGGCCATTTATAGATTTTAGACGTTTTGTAATGCCAAAATAAATTAACATTCACATAGAACTGGAAGCTTGAGACCCTTTGTGATTATTGGAGTCGGGTTATTTTTAGAAAGAGCTTGATTTTAAAAGTAATTAAGAAAAATAAGTATGATTATTAAAAAACCACTTTTACTTTACTCTGGATCTATCTAACCAAACAGGGGAAACAATTCTCCTGCGTTTATTTTGCAGAAAACCAAACAGGCTCAAATTATTCGAAATGCATTACATTTACTTTACATTGCATTTACTTTACACTGCATTTTCTTTTTTGGCAACCAAATAGCCCCTAAAATAACTTCATCCTCATGTGGAACAACAAACGTTGGCCACAAATTGATACATTTATCCATTATCCAATTGTCTTTGAATGCATATATTGATTCTCCATCAACCAATGACCATCTAATAATTGGTTTCAGCATTTTACATCCATCATTCAATAATTTCCAAGAGGAAGAGCATCTACCTCTAACATTTCCCATATCAAGCCTCTCACCATATTTAGCAACCATTACCTTATGTAAAAGTAAGTCTTTGTCTTGAATGAATCTACATGCCAACCTAGCTCTTAAAGCATGTTTTTTTGAGATACTTGAATAGAAACCTCGGCCACCTCTACATAATGGTTTACACAGATCAAACCAACTGACGTAGTGTAACCCCATTGATCCGTTAGTCTTGTTCCAAATGAAACTCCTGCAAAGTTTGTCTAATTCTTCCAATATTCATTTTGGGACAAGTGAGTGTGTAGCATGAAAGATAGGAAAGACAACATTGCAGATTTTACCAAAGTCAATTTACCTGCCAGTGATAAAAATTTACTTCCCCATATGTTAAGCATCTTCATAACTTTATCTACAATGAACTGGAAATCATCACTTGCAAGTCTTCTTAAAGAAACCTTCACCCAAGATAATTAAATTCTTTTACTGTTTTGAAACCCATTATTCGTGAGATGCTTTTCTTTTTCTTCCTACACACATGTTTACCAAACAATATGGCAGATTTGCACATGTTTATTCATTGTCTCGTACATTCACAGAAATCATATAAGATGTGCTTGACTTTCTTAACAGCCCTCCTATTAGCTTCAGAAAACATTATCACATCATCTGCATATAGTAAATGGGATATTCTCGGCCCAACTGAATTAATTTTAATACCACAAGAGCTTTAAGCAAAAGCATTAGAAAGGAGTTGAGAGCAAAGTATAAAAAGGAGTGGAGACAAAGGACAACCTTGACGAAAACCACTCTTAGCTTGTATCCAATTTGAGTAATTGTCATTGATGATCAAAGAAAACTTTGGATCTTCCACGCACTCCATGATTAGTTTAGAAATCTTTGGAGGTAAGTCAAAATACTCCAACACTTTCCTAAGAGAAAACCAAGACATGGAATCATAAGTTTGTTCCATGTCTACCTTGAAAGATACAAGTCCTTTAGCAGCTTTTGAGAACCTAAGTTTGTGAAATATTTCCTGCTCCACCAACACATAATCTGACAAAGACCTCCCCTTGATGAATGCCACTTGCTCCTTCGAAATAAGATTTGGAGTAACCTCAATTAATCTATTCAATATCACCCTTGCCGCCACCTTGTACACAGTATTACATAGACTGATTGGTCTATAGTTAGAAGGGAGAAGATGATTTGATATCTTCGATGTTAGCACAATCAATATTTCCTTCCATTCTTTGTTCAACTCCCCATAGCAAAGGAATTGACTTAATGCCTTCCAAAAATCAAATTTGATGATGTCCCAATATGCTTTGATGAATGAGTATGAAATTCCATCCTTGTCAGGAGAGATGTTTCCACCCATTTGTTTCAGCACCCTTTCCACCTCCTCAATTGTAAATTCTTCTTCCAGAATGTCCATATCACATTTGTTCAGGAAATTAATTGTAGTTGGCCATCCATCTAGTTTGCATTTTTTGGTATCCCATTTTCTCTCAAAAAACTGAAAGAAAACTTCTTCAATCTAATATTGTTCTTCCACCAAAATCCCATTTCATTCTTCACTTTGATAATTTTATTGGAGTTTCTTCTAGCACTAACATAGGAATGGAAAATTTTGAATTTCCATCTCCTTCAGCTAACCACTTCACCTTAGCTCTTTTCTTCCACCAAGAGTTCAATCTAACCATAGTTTAATTTAATTCATTTACCTTTGCTTTGAAACTCCAGCATTCAAATTCCGAGAGAGACTCATTTGAAGATTCTTTATTTTGAAGGTCCATGATGTCTTTCATAAGATCTTCTTTAAGCTTGTTAAGATCCTTTAACTTAGCCTTGCTCCAAATAAACAAAGACTTCAATGATCTTTTAAATTTCTTGTTGAGAAATTGAGAACTATCCCCTTGATATAGTTTGCTGCATTCCTTCCTCACCACTGCAAAGGATGCTTGATAAGATGCCCAATAGTCTTCAAACTTGATGTTCTTTTTGGAGATTGGAATAAAATCAAGAATGTTCAAAAGGATTGGACAACGATCCGAGGCTATTCTAGCCAAATGCCTCACAACCAATCGATGGGGGAGCTCATTGCAGTGGAGTTTATGAAGCACCTATCCAATCTTTCAAGTATCCTTGCTCCACCATATTTATTGTTGCACCATGTGAATTTTGGCCCAATAAACCCAACTTCATGTAAATCATTTTTAAGCAAGCATTCTTTCATCTCCTTTGGTCCTTGAGAAAAAAAGAACCTTCTACGTCCTATTTCATCCTCCTTGGCCATTATACAATTGAAATCTCCACCTATTTCCATAGGTACATCTATAGTGGTATGCTTATCCAGGATATCCCATAGATCCCTTCTCTTTTGCACTTTTTTACTTCCATAGATCGTGGCCACCCTTCACATACCTTTGTTAAACATTGTTGGATCTCCAATGACCACTTGACCAGAAAAATCAACAACCAAGTAATCAGCAAGATTTGAATTCCACAAAATCAAAATGCCACAAGATAGTCCTGATGAAGCAACATAGACAAAATCTCGTTCGTTTCCAATCATAAGATTAACTTCACTTCTTTCAATAGAAGTCAATTTGATTTCTACCAAACCCAAAAAAAACACTCCATGAATTTTAACAAATTCCCTAAAATATAGAGAAGCACTCTTCTTCCTTGCTCCTCTATAATTCCAAAATGCTATAGAATACATTAATTGATATTAGGGGAATTATTCCCCAAAGTACCTTTCCCTTCAAGCTCCAATCTTCTTCTCCAGGATGAAGTGTTGATTGGCCCCAGTTCCCTCAACTGTTTAGATATCTTCTTTTTTGTTAATTGAGAACAACCAACCTTCCCTCCACTTTCAGTATTCTCATATTCACAGATTACTGAATTGGTAACTTCTATATCTTCATTTCCTGCAGCAATTGCTATTACATTGGTACCATTACATTTATTTACCTCCTCACCAACTGTATCGTCGTTCTTTGATTGAGCAATCTCTCCTTGTTCTTCAAGATCCAAGAGTGCATCCATCATTAAGTATCACAGGCTTGTTGATTACCCAAACAACTGAAGCATTGTTGCTATCTACATCTAAGTTATCTGTTTTATTGCAAGACATATGTTGCTGCTCAATTTCTTGAGCTTCAATTGGCTTGTTTAACTTGCTGACTTCCTCTTTTTTATCATTGTTCTTTATAGGTACAAAGTTTCTCCTTCCTTCAACCCGAGAAATAGGTTTTTTGTACACATTCACTACAAGAAAACGCGCATTACCAGTAGACCAAATTCGCTAGAAAATGCCCAAAATCCATCGAAAATTAGAAGTTCCGGCTGATTTCTGATGAATTTGTTTTCAATGCTAAGACACGCGTCAAAAAAATGTTGCCGACAAAAAAAAATCCGCTGGAAATTTATCCGGCAAATATGCTCCTCCGAAAAAATAAGAAAATGAAAAAAAAAATTGAACCCAGCACCCCTGCCCAATAGCCCACTGCTCCGCCCGCATCCTGCTCTCCCCCAGCATGCCCACTCCTATAGACCCAAGCGACCGACCAAGTTCAAACCCGCGAGCCTGGCCAGCTCAAACCCGTGACACGGAGCCGACCCGCACATGACCAGCCCCACAAGTACGCTCCATGCAAGATTTGAAC